TTTTACTTAAAAATTAAATATATAAAATTTGAAATATATAATTCTGTATAAGCTGTATTTCTATTTATCCTAATATGTTTTACAATAGATTTTTTTATTTTGTTGCAGTGGCAAATTATTTATATTTGAATATTAAAGTTTTAATTTCATAAAATTATTATATATAAAGTACTCATATTTAACTAAAACTAAAAACCTGTTATGTTACAAATTATAAATTCTTTTTTTTATTGATACAATATTACAAATTAACAAAATAATAGAAAATTTTCTAATTTTTATTTTTTGATACATTCACAATTATAAATTCTATAGCACAATTAAATTAAACTAAATTTCCTTACAGCTTGACATTTCATTCACAAGATTAACTGTGATATAATGCGTATTTTTTCTGGGTGTCACATTCAACCAGAAATCATCTTAAGATTTCAAAATAAAAGCATTTTGAACTATCTTTATCGGAATCATTGTCTTTTCACAAGGTTTCAATTCGTAACATACTAGCAAGTGAAAAAGCACAATTTTCGTCAGCAACGCGAATCTATTACTTATTTTCTGGAAATTAAACCAAAAGGAAGTTAGGGTCGAGATTGTTTTTCTTGCGCTCACCAAGAAATCGTTCGGAATTAAATTTCTTTGGTTCTTCAAAATATTTAGGATCATAATGAAATCCATAAATTGATATCCATATATCTTGTCCTTTCCTTAGTAAAAGGTTTTATATTAGAGACACTATTATAGTATCGGTAATATGAAATTTTTTATGGATTTCATTATGATCCTAAATATTTTGAAGAACCAAAGAAATTTAATTCCGAACGATTTCTTGGTGAGCGCAAGAAAAACAATCTCGACCCTAACTTCCTTTTTATATATAATCTATTAAATAATACATTATTTGGATATATTTTGAAAGTTTTATTGATGAACAGGTTAAACTGAATAACATAAGGACAAAAAGTCCTTTAACATTTTGTGGATTTTTCAATAATTAATGAAAAGTATAATAATTAGTAAAGTAGAACTATTCTCAATAACATAAAGAATGCTTGCTGTTACTGATGGTTACATATATTGTGTGATATGTAATAATAGTTTACACGATTAAAATTGAACATTGAAGAAAGTAAAAGTATTATTATTTAAATATTAATATAGTATTAATTAATATTTACTAATAATTGAATTATTATTAATTTAACATTACATATCGAGCTATAATTTTTAACTGTTACATTAAATATAATAATCCTTCTCGTATATGTGTGAAGGGATCATATTGATAATATACAATTTACAACGGGTCAAATTATGAAATATTAATTCAATGGAATCAAATAATACATAACACTTAAAGACAGATATTTTATGTATATATAGATACATAAAAAATAGATACAGAAAAATCTCCTTAACTAATTTTTAAAGCTTTTCTTATTCTATATTTTGTACATGATATTTTTATGCTACTCTATACACACACACACACACACACATAAAACTAGATTGTTATGCTATTATATATAACTAGATTTTTTTTCTTAATTATGTACTCGCTTCCCTAAATCATTTTTTATAACATTCTTGTCTACGTAATACATTTTTATATAAATAGCAAATTATGAAAACATTTTTTACAAATTTAAAGATACATAATGAAAATGTATAAACGATTATTATAATAACAATAATTGTATTATATAATAACAATAATTGTAGTTATTTATATTATTTACAAAAAAAGTCGTTATAAATTTATCGATAATAATTTTACAAAATAAAATATAATACTCAATCCATTAATGTTTTTCATGTTGTTTTCTTTTACCATTTTCTTAGAAACTTATATAATATAATTAATATGTTTAATATATCGAAGATTGTTATTTTTTGAACTTACAACAACATTATCATCTTCTTGCCATACAGAAAGAAACGGACCATGTTCATTTGAGTTTTCATTGTTTTCATTTTATCTAAAATTTAAGAAACATTTTTAAATTAAACATGTTAAAACTTATATTTTGGATAGTCATTTTTGTACATGCATTTTATTTAAAAACCACTAGGTATTTCATTGTATCTCTCATACCATAAATATACTTGAATATTAAATTTTTTAATTACGAGGTTTTATAAGTATCATATGTTTTTAAAAACTTAAACAATTTTACAAATCAAAAATTATTTTTCTTTAGATCAGTATCATCTAGACACTATTATTATTTATTAATTACAAAAGTAACAGGAGTGGTTTTTTTTATCGAAAAATGTCTTTTTTATTTAAAATTTTTCAAGTCATAAAAATTTATTAAAATTTTCTTACTTTTAGCGTGTTCCATTTACGAGATTAGTTACAAGAGTGTGATGCGTATCTTTTCTTGGTATCACCTTCAGCCAGAAACCGCCTTCAGGTTTTAAATTGAGGTTGCTCTTAGAGATTTTGATTGGATTTGGCGTCTTCTCGCAGGTTTTTAAATCGCAACGGGCCAGTAATTGAAACAGTATAACCTTTGTCTCCAACAATGCAAATCTGTTACCTATGCACATTCTGGGACCAAGACCAAAAGGAAGGTAGGCTCCGCAGTTGAGATTATCCTTCTTCTGCTCACCAAAAAACCGTTCGGGATCAAACTTCTCCGGCTCCTTAAAGTAATTAGGATCGTGCTGAAGTCCATAAGCCGGTATCCATATGCCTTGTCCTTTCTTTACAACATATGGTTTCAATCCTGGTAATGCTGGCGGCAGCTCAAAATCTTTTGCGCATACTCTATCCATTGCTACAGCAACCGGATACATCCTGAGAGCTTCGTTGATTACAGCATCTAAATATTCCATGCCATTAATCGCTTCGTAAGGTGCTTGTCCATTCGTTTCTTCCAAAACTTGGTCGATTTCCTTTCGAAGCTTGTCTTGTATATCTTGGTTTATTGCGAGTTCATGAGCGGCAAAACTCATTAACGTTGAAGTACTATCGAAACCAGCAAAGAAAAAGACAAATGCTTGTGCTACCATATCATCGGTACTCAATTCTGCTTTGCCCTCTCTACCTCGGGTTTCCATCATCAATTGCAACATATCAGGGCGAACGATACCATTCTCATCCCTGGCTTTTATAGTAGTTTCAACAAGATCTCGGAAAAAATCTGTTATTTTTTGACGAATGATTTTCAAGTTAATTAATCGTGCCAACCTAGGCATGCTTCTAAATATGTAAAACTTTATGAAAGCAGTAGTACCGAAAACTGTCGCTTCTTTGCCGTATATATAGAATTCGTTTTTCGGATTTTTCGTGGAATCAACACTGACACCAAAAGCGCAAGTAGCAATCACGTCGTTAGTGTATCTCGTAAAGACGTCTTTCATTTCCAGTATCCTCTGCTCCGGTGGCAATTGTGCCAAATAATTACCGAAATTGGCACCACATTCCGACATTAGCTTAAACATGTTTTTCATTTTGCTCGATGTAAAGGCTGGACTCAATAAAGATCGTACCTGTCGCCATTTTTCTCCGCGAAGAGCAAAAAGGTTTTTGCCGAATAGTGGATCTTGATTTTCATCTATAAAACTGCGATGATCCGTAAAACTATCGAAGTGTTTTAACGCGATGGATTTGATAAGCTCGGGATCGCGAATCACCACAATTGGAACGTTCATATCAAACATACCAACATACTTGGCTTCAGGATGTAAGTTATAAGTGCTCTTGACTAATCCGGCTAACGATTCAAGATGGAAAAACGTTGGTCCCATATTTCCTACTATCGGAAGAGGTGTCTTATGTGGTATGCCATGTTTTTTGAAATAATTTAAATCTTTGAAGAGAAAATAATAAAGGCCTAAAGCACCTGCTATCACCGACAAAGCAATTATGTATATCATATTGATATATGTATATATCTGTACATATATATCCTTAAATTAGTATACACAATGTAGTTTTGTAGAAATTGAAATAAACTTTTGCACTTTTTCGTAACCAGATTGTTTCTTAAGTACTTTTTTATTGTACTGTTAATAACAAAGACAATTCTAAAGCACAACGTTACACGTCAAAAGCTGACGGCTGACTGTTGCCGCACTGATGCAATCGTTCTAATATAACATCTGATTCGTCATCGCTTGCGCGAGAAACGCAACAATATTTAACCTTGATAGATACTGATGCCTTTATTGTTATTAATGTGATAAATTTGTATAATTAAAATGAATACTCGATTTAGCAGATTATCGTTTATTTAATACTTTCAAATATATTTGCCATGTTAAATATATTCGGTGTGCCTTTTATTTACTATTGATAAATAATATGATTTATAACGATTAATAGATTACAATTTAGTCGTAAATGTAATAGCTATTCCTTATATATTTCTTATCTTAGAATTTATACTTTGTAGGAAGAGTTAAATATGTTAGTATTATTATTAGTATCTTTCTTCAATTCGATTTGAGAGAGAGAGAGAGAGAGAGAGAGAGAGAGAGAGAGAGAGAGAGATATGATTCAAAGTACTTCAGATTCCTTCTGTGAATCGATAGTGATAACTTTATAGGAATACACAATTAATTCTTATTACGTGATCTATGAATTTACAAAATACAAACTTACAAAATTGTATTAGACTAGCTGTTTATTGTCTTGTCGTGACGATTTGAATCAATATATATATAAGTTATAATTTCAGACAAAGTAAATTTCAGACAAAGTAAAAAGATACTGTTCTCGCATCGGTAATTGAAATAGAATAGCAGAATTGCCGTAGAATATTTTGTAAATTTCTACATTCTAATATTTTTGATTATTGTTTGTATTGCATATATATATATATAATATTTATACGTTAGAATAATGTAACATAATGTCTATATGGCAGTAAATATAACGTAAAATACGTTTGTGATTTTTTTTCTATCTCAAAATTTACGAATCAAAATATTACAACAAGAAAGTTTTTGAAAAAGAATTTAAAAGAATATTTGTCATTTATTGTTTTGAGCAGTAGTTTTTTAGATATAAATTGAGTTTAAAACTAGCCAATTATAGATTATTATGAAACGACTACCTGCCCATGAGTTACGCATCGATGATGTTAATGATCGCATGAGCAAGCAACTATTTAATCGTAAACCGTAGTCGTGTCAGTTTCATCTCTAATATATGATATTTTTATTTTCAAGGACATCATGTTGTATCTCTAAATTTGTATGTTTTGAATACTCCTACTGTTCGACAGCCTTACATTTGGATTAGTTTGGAATCGGAAACTGACACGACTGGTTTGTTTCCATAACCGTAGGATGCGCGTTTTCTCTAGGTACAATGCTCAACCAGAAACCGCCTTCCATCCGCATTGAAAATCCGCCTTTCTGAAATTTTACAGATGTCGAAGTTTTCTCGCACGGCTTTAACTGACAACGAGCCAGAAGATGAAATAACATAGTCCTTGTTTCGAGTAACGCGAATCTATTACCGATGCACATTCTCGGACCTAATCCAAATGGATAATAAGCGTTAAAATTGCACTGATCTTCTTCAGCGAAGAATCTCTCAGGTTTGAATTTATCAGGTTCCGGAAAGTATTTAGGATCGTGTTGAAGCGCATAAATTGGGATAAAGAGTGTCGTTCCTTCCTTTACAAGATATGGCTTTACATTTGGTAGTGTAGAAGGCAACTCAAAATCTTTCACGCACATTCTGTCCGTCACTGGTTGTACCGGATACTTTCTGAGAGCCTCATTAATAACGGCATTTAGATATTTCATTCCGTTGATCGCCTCGTAAGATGGTTTACCATTCGTATCTTCCAAAATTTTGTCGATCTCATTTTGCAGTTTCTCTTGAATATCTGGATTGATGGCAATTTCGTATGCCGCGAAACTCATCAGTGTCGAGCTGCTGTCGAAGCCAGCAATAAAAAAAATGAATGCCTGTGATGTTATATTCAAAATGGTCAGTTCTTTCCCAGGTTCTCTTTTGCTTCTGCTATCCATCAATAATTGAATTACGTCTGGCCGAATAATACCTTTCTCTTCTCTGATTCTTATAGTGTCAGCTACCAGATTTACAAAGAATGCATTAGTACGATCATCTATTAATTTAATATTTAATAGACGTATAAGCGACGGCATATGTTGATACATCAAAATTTTTATAAGTGCAAGCATGCCAAAATTTGACGCTTTCTTGCCGAACATGTAAAAATCATTTTCTGGGTTTCTCATCGAATCCACGTCAATACCAAAGGCGCATGAAGCGATCACGTCATTAGAGTATCTTGTGAATATATCTTTCATTTCCATAACGCGTTTGTCTGATGGTACATTCAATAAATATTCCGAAAAGTTCACAGCGCATTCAGATATCAATTGAAACATTGTCCTCATTTTACTAGCTGTAAAAGCAGGACTCAGAAGCGTTCTAATATCACGCCATTTGTCACCGCGAAGAGCAAGCAAATTTGTCCCAAAAAGCGGATCTTGAGTTTCATTACCAAAGAAAAGATGATCCGGAAATGCGTCGAAATGTTTGATAGCGACAGATTTAATCAGTTCAGGATCACGAAGTACTACGATCAATCTTGTGAAATCAAAAGCACCAATATACTTAGCATCGGAATGCACGTTGTACATTTCTTTAATCATATCAGCGAAACTTTTTGGTCGAATAAAAACTTTCCAAATTCTTTCCAACAAGGAATATTCTTTAACATGTGGAATTCCATGCTTCTGAAACACGTTCGAATCTTTGCAGGATGAGTAATAATAAATAGCAAGTATGGCGGCTACTATTGATAAGACTGTTGTCCAGTACTCCATGATAAATGTTTAATCGGAATGCGATTACTCCTTTCGTTCGAGATAAAGTTGAACACCAGTGTCGTGAAAGTTTGTGTCAATATCACTGTTAGCAATTGTGTGAGGCACCCTCAGGTTATAATCCAATGCAATATGTTGAACGTGATTGTTTTATGAAGTCAAAGCGATCTGCTCGCTTGAAATTCTCGCATACGACTGCCCATACCGAGATAGAGTTGTTTGTTATATGGTTCATTGCAATTTCATGACGTCATTTAAGAGAATTATATAAGAGAGAGAGAGAGAGAGAGAGAGAGAGAGAGAGAGAGAGAGAGAGAGAGAGAAATGATACTTTGTTACTTTATAATCCGTAAATGAGAAGATGCATTATATCCATATAGATAAAAATACTTATAATTCGTAAATTATGTTTTTAGTATGTAAAATAGTGACAAAATATTAAAAAATCGATATTAATAAATCAATAAGTAAATAAAACAAATATTGTAGAAGTAATATAGTTTAAAAAAATGTAATGTCGTATCATCGTTAATCAGTAGCATACAGCCGGTACAGCTGATGATGTTTTCTATTATTCGCAATAGCCTTAATGATCTCATATTAGAACGGAAAACTCTCGCGATAGAGTGAGTAACGTATATGTACACATTACGTAATAAATGAACCACATCAAGCATTTGCCATGCGAATCGGAATGCTGTAGAGAAACCAAATTGAGAGCTCGTTTTATTGATACCAGCGTACGACCGATCGAGCATTATTAACACCTCGTGTCTAATCCAGATGGCGTAAATTCTTCGATATAAAAAAGAGATACACTATTTATTCATGATAATTTGTTTCTTTAATCTTAATAATGCAAATTTGAGAAGTTGTTTCGTTTATATCTCAGAATTAATCTGACGGATGTTCTAAACATTGCGAAACAATCTAATATATCTGTTGTATATATAATAGTCGAATTATATGAATTTACCCTCATATGGTATATACTCGTACAGGACCAACATGCAACGATACATAATCATACCTTTGATGCGAACTGACTTACCACATTTGTATACACACACATATGCGCGCGCGCGCGTATGTGTGTTCTCTCTCTCTCTCTCTCTCTCTCTCTCTCTCTCTCTCTCTCTCTCTGTATATATATATATACAAATTCACACAGTAAATTGCGTATTGACAAACTTGCTTTGACTTCCAGTCAAACTATTAACAATTAAACATAATATAAATATTTTACTGCAAATTTAAAAGTTGAAGACTCTTTCTCTTATCATTAAAATGAAACAAATATAATCGTACTATATTTGTTGCACAACAAATGAAACATAATAAATAAAAATTTTTTACGATTAATCGTATTTTTTCACATTGTGCGCGCGCGCGCGTGTGTGTGTGTGTGTACATCATTCTTATAAAAATATCTATATCAAAACAATTTTTATTTTATCTATGAAAAGAAATAATTTCTAATTAATTATAAGAAATAATTTCTCATTAAAATGAAAATTTTGATTTTTCCTTTTTTATTATTAATTTTCCTAATATTCTAAAATATCTCAAAAAGATAAAAAAAATGTATGTATATTTCGAAATTTAACTTACATCTTGATGAGAAACAAGATTTTGATCGAAAGTTTGATCTATCTAGTACGAGAGTAAGCACAAAAGTAAGAAAGAGTAAGAGAAATGAAAAGGGGATGGGAGAATGTACGGGGGAAAGAGAAAGCACAGGAGAGGGTTGGCGGAACAAAATTCATTTGGCCAAATTAAACAGAGTTTAGCAATTTGCGCTTAATCCATTTGTCGGGGATCCGCCGTCCGTCAGTCCGTCCGTCTATCTTTACTTCAACCCTCTCTTTTTCTCTTGCTATTCTCCCCTATCTTTCCTGCGTCCTGTATTCTGCACCCTTCTTCTAACTGTTCGTTCTATATATCTTACTGGTACCTCGATCTCTTCGCCTTTTGAAGCTGCATGTAGGTTTTACTTCAATTTCTTTTTAACAAAAAAAAAAAGAGAGAGAAAGAAAGAAACTTATTCTTATATGTCACAGCTATCTTTTTCACGACGACGTTATTCTATTGAGTTGCATAAACGAACATCCAGATTGTGCACGTATTATATTAATTAGTATGTCGTACGAGACGTCGCGATAAAAAAGCAATAAGCTAAAACATGTTACGCTTTCGTTTATGTATGCGAGACACGACGTTATATGTTTTTTTATTCGCTTAGTATGCAAGCCATTTTTATGCGCATGTTGAGCGCACATCTTGTAAAGAGGAAGATCTAAAATTTATTCTGTATTGAGATAAATTATAAATAATTTCCAATGCAGATAAATTTTTTTCTTAACACATAATTTATTTTTTACCACTGCAATGGGCTGGTATGAAGAAAAAGGTTTACTTAACAGAAGGCAAATTTATTAACGAGATTTAGTTGTGTATATAGAATATAATTCTGACAAAAAAATAAGTAATTAATCTGTGAATTATAATGTGAGTATATTATGTTCACAAATCTTAGCTTTACTGATTTACATTATTGTTATATCCAATATCTCATTTAACATACGTACACATGCACACGCTCACACACACACACACACACACACACACACACACACACACACACACACACACACACACACAGAGCTATTACACCTTAAGCTTTACACCATTCTCTACCGTCTCGCATGTTACAGCACGAACGCTCTTCGGCACTTGGATCTTGTTATCACGGAATTGTTTCCGTCCTCCCTCTGAGCGCCATACCACCGTGCACTGTCGAGCTTCCTCCTTCTTAGACCAGCAAGAACAGCGAATCTTACCTAAGTGTATTGGCAGTTGTGTCCACGTTTTATTTCCATTCAATCGGGTGAACACCTTTAAGATCACTTTTCCGTAAAGTGCTTGGCGTTAGATGTTCCTGATTCCTGATTCTTGGTCCTGTGGCAACCATCCATAGATCCGTTTAATGCAGGTGTTCATTTACCAATCGATAGCGCTGAACTACCGGTGTTTTCAACGTTGTTACGTCTCGCATTTTCTTGTGATGACGTGTGTGTTTCCTATATCAATTTTTATTTGTCAAAGATACTTTTTTCGAATGCCTACAATAATTTCTTTGAATATCATAAACGCCAAAATTCTACGAATAAAAAACTGTATCAATTGTATCAGACATAATGAAATAGATTTTTGTTATCCAAATTGCAAAAAAAAAAAACAAATTAAACTGACAAATCGCGCTCTAATACCGTTACGTATATCACGTACTAATTTCTGTGATATTTTAGAAATAAATTTCTTCTCTTTTATAGATAGATAAAGGTTAATATAGTTTACAAATTAAACAGGCAGTAATCATATTGTCTTTATATGTATTATACGCAGATGGCAAATATTTATAATAATCAGCCGTTTCACAATCATCAATATGCACTGTCTTTTTTTTCATCACTCCAATTGTTTCCGCTGTCAATTCTGCTTTTTACTATTGGTGAAAGTAACAAATGGATAACGCATCTCGTGTTTAAGATTAATAGTTTTAATACTTCGACGACTATATCCATGCTGCTACTAGTAGTTTACTGTGATCAAATTTGAATTCTATGCAGATGAATTGTATAATAAATTGCAAGAATAAAATAACAATGTTACGCCGTATAATTTATTTCATCGTACTTCCGTACGTTACGTTAAAATTCTATTTAACGATTTCGATATTAATACCAGCTCTTTTTTCCGTCAGAGAAAGCATATATAAATCTCAATGATTCGAACGTAAAACTAATGGAATATGAGTGTACCAGTACAAAGTCGGAATGAACTCGAAAGTCGTCGCGCGTATATGGCATACTCACATATCGAGAATTTAAGTATCCGTGAGGAGATGGATACTAAAACACGGATATAAACGCGCGCGACTAAAATAGACGAAGTGAATATTATTGCTGACTTTCGGACTCCTCGTAATACTCGGTTCATGAGCTTAAAATCTGTCAATGTATGTACATATACGGCCATATATATCCGGTTATGCTTTCCATATGTGATTTATTTCACTTAAGTTATTTAATCGTACATTTATCGTGCATCATTGTTCCATCTCTTCTACCTCTCTCTCTCTCTCTCTTCTCTCTCTCTCTCTCTCTCTCTCTCGCTTAAATCTTTATTTTTAACATCCATAATTCTCCGTAATTCCTAGACTATTATACTTTTTACGTTTTGTGTTGGTCAGAGTATCAAAAATATTTATATAGGTCGCAAAACGGATTACAAACACAGCGTATTGAAATGTTTTATGATAAATGTGATGTGTGTGTCGTTTATCGCGAGGTCGTGTTTGTTATTCTCACAAGGACATTGAATGACTCGAACGAGAATGAAATTTTAAGTTCTGATCTGACTCGAGACTTGACTTATCTTTACTTTAACCAAAAGATACTTTAACCAATAGATACTTTCGACCAATTTGCTTTACTAATTCGTATAATTGGTCAACTGTTTTAATTCTGGCTCTTTATACTTTAGAAATGCTTGTGTAATATATTTTTTTATGTTCATCTAATTTTAAGATTTGTGTCGTTTTTTTTTCAAGGAAATATTTTCCAAGAATATTTTTCGGTAATTTACGCAGATTAAACCATTTAATTTCCAATAAAGATTACAGCGAACGTGTGGAATGGACATGGGTCAACATCGAGTGTCATCGATCATTCTGTGTACCAGGAAGCAATATCGACTTGGACCTTCAAGAAAGAAGACAACGGACGCTTCTTCGTAGGTCAGGTTGGCGACGCGTATTCTTGGGGAATTAACACACATTTGCGATGTTATTGCTTGAGAATACACGTATTTGGCCTGGCCGGTCACGTCATGCAAGCAGCGACTAGAATATTCATCCGCAATAGATTCCTCGGGAATCATCAGGCGCGTGAAGGAATTGAAACTATTCCTCACATTGCATACCGACGAAATAGTGCGCTCAATGATATACTCGTATAAGCGATAGAATAATTCTAGAAAAATTAGGCGATTACTCTGAAATTAAAAGACAACATACTTTTTCTTTAATTTCATTATATTTCTTCATATATTTAAAGTACAATTATCATGTGCGTTACAACGCAGTTCGAACAATTGTGTAGAATAAGATAAAATAAACAT